TAACTTCGCAGTCCTAATTGTCGGTTATAGTTTATGATATTTCAACTTATTTATAAGCATCGTGTATTTATACTCAGTCCGATGATTTTTCAGAAATATTCTAATGGTTTGTTTAGGATCTGTAGTACTAATAGGTGCGGATCAACTTTTATTTAAATGGGCATGACTAATCAGGCCCAACAACGGCCAAATTAGCAATATTGCCGAAACCTGATAAACCGATTAGCTTCGAATTCATGTAAATGGGTTGGCTGCATGGGTGTTTTAATGGCTTTCTATGTGAGCAAAGTCAACATGAACTGGTTTGTTAAAGTATTTTTTTTTTCACGAAGGAATATTTCCTCTTAGGTAAGTAACCTTCATATGCTTTGTTATATTCATACAGAAGCATGTCAACATGTATATATAACTAAAACTAAACTCAGTGGTGCAACAGCCCTAGTGGGCCACGCCTGCAGTGCCCCGAAATCTGCTTTCTTGACCTTGGGCCCCGAGGTGCATCAGCATATGCCCTGGGTCAATGGTCAGCTTGTCTCGCAGGACCCCCTGTGTTTAGTCCCCAAGCAAACTTGGTACTCATTTTATCAACGCATTAAGGGATGAAAGGCTGAGTCAACCTTGCCCAGCCAAATACACCCATGTGCAAAATTAAGAGAATTTGAGCATTATGCCGAAGTTTTGAAAATATAGAGGAGAGATTTTAATGGAATTTGGAACGAAAATACATTTATAGCCGAGAAAGTGATGTACCATTCAAAATTCATTTTATGTATGCAGGATAAAATGTAAAGCTCATAATGCAGGAATGTCCAAAATCTGCATTGGAATATCGAACAGCTTGTCAGTATATTAGATAAGAGGCAGTACAGGAGCTCTTGCGGCAGTCGATCGAACTCCTGCAAAAAAGTAACTCTCAACTCACGCATGGTTCTCGGAGAGGGATGGAAAGATGACATTGCCCTTCCAAAACCGTTCCAGAAATTCTTTGTAGGGTTACCTGGATATCTAGCTGGAAAATCCATACTCCCAATATTCACAATCTCCATGACTAGCTGAGTTTTATGTGTACTAGTACTGTCGTCCATTAACGGAAACCAGGACTAACTGCGCCCCTGAGAAGTCCTTTAATATCTCCTTTTTATAACTAACACCAATTATATGTTTTCTTTTGACTTTGTTTTACTTCATAATTTGGTAAAAAGCACGGTACTCTACTCAAGTCAGGTCCAAAGTTGTCTCACCATGTTGCGTCGTTGTCTGCACCATGCCAAATGCACTCTCTTGTGTACTCCAGGGAGAAGGATGCTAATAGCGAGTATTCTGGAAAACAGCCCTATCTCTCTATCTATTCGGCGATTGTTAGCCGTCAAACTCAGGTTCCAGTGGCAGCATACAGCTGATGTAAGAGATGTGAAGCTGCAACAGTCCTGTGTCGCCACGATGAAAGTGCCAAATAAGGATCCTTATTCGTCATTGTAGGTCTTGGTTGATTCAGTGTGCTGAAACTGTTTATACATATTGTAGATAAAATTAAGGTTAGCTCTGCGGCCATCTGCGTTTGTGATTGGCCTACCTCCAATCTATCTAAAATTCTCCATCTCATTCCATCATCTATACCTTCTATATATTTATTTTACCTAATATCTTATAAAATTTACCCAACTCTTCGCTTAAATATTCGACTTTTTAACAGAGGAGTCGATATTCAGCCAAACACTCATTCTCGGTGTATCTGGTGTATCTGTGTCTGCATACCTGCCTAGGGATATTTTTATAATTCTTCAATGGCATAATTAGTACCTTTAGTTCAATAACTTTCGTAAAAACAGACATAATATGCAAATTTTCTGAATTTTACACGCGAGCGTATGTGCGAATTTGGAGCAATATTTCTCAGCAACCAATTAAAATCGTATGTTCTTGACTTTAAACCGAAGGAGGCAAGATAAAAATATAAAATTTTGATAGTTTTTAAATTCTAGTCTTGGAATTTCTATTCATTCTCAGTTCTTCAAGCTTTTAAACTTGGAATTACTTTCCGATCTTGTCATAAAGATCACCAAGTTAAAATGTGTTCTTTAGGTTTGTAACTTCTGTGGTGTAAAACTACTTAGTATTTATTCTAAAGACCTAACTGTTAGCCACCGAAATAAAAAAAAATAATAAAATAATACGCTAGAACCGATAGTTTTTCTTCAAACTTAATCAGACTGCTCACTTTTACACCAAGGTTTTATAATTATATTCTTATTCAAATTTATGAACATACTGGTGTCGATATGGAAAGCAAACTTTGGATCAAACTCAGCCGAACATATCGAAAGCTCAAGGTGGCAGAGTTATAAAATATTTTTCTGTCTCCTCTTGAGTGCATTCGTAGCGTAATGTGAAAGTAATGGTAGTATTGCTCTCACTTTTCATGTTTCCTGCTTCGACAAACCTGATGACTGTGAGAATCACTGAACATACTCCAAAGGCTTACGTTTATGATTAACAGCCTACTTTTGAACTGCTATGCCGCTTTTCTTCCAATATGCTTCAATATGCTGCACTTTATGCTCCAAGGAAACATTTTGATCAACCATGGAATATAGGACAAAATTAACTTAAAACATAGAACAGAATTAACTTAAACTATCAGTAAAACTTAAGAAATAATTATAACAAGGTAACATCTTTACGCCCTGAATCTATAACATTATATTCAAAAACACTTAAATAGTAAACCAAATGTATTGTTATAGAATTTAAGGGAAGGATATGTGTTGTAATATAGTAATTCTTTTCAGTGCTAACATTTGGAATAATAATCACACTTTTAAAGCTCAAGTTCTGTCCTTTTATTTCTTTTCTTGAACATAAAATGGTTTAAATCGAAACGACGTTAAATATTATAATTTTTTTTCATTTACTCTATTAGGGTGCAAACTGCGTGGCCAAACCGCAGTTCTGTCTCAGCCCCTTAAATTTGCTTTAATTAGGCAAAGTAACAGATGGAACAGATTGCGCTTCTGTACTATTAAACTTCATGTCGACAATATCATTATCATTAACGATGTTAGGCGAGTAATAAAGTTATTATTTTCTTTAATTTATGTAAGGTTAAAAATCCATTAATGACTTAATGTAATGGTAGGATCACATACGTAAACAATTCGGCAAAGAGACTGACAGTTAAGAAGTTATGATGAAACCTGATCTACAGGGTGGTCTAAAGTTTTATTAACCCCTCCCATGTGTGCATTTCATGCATATATACCACTTCAGGTAAATGTGCATATAGACGTGTATACATGCGTATTTTCTACATATATATGTGTAGGAAATACATATATATATTATTTGAAATGATTGATATTATGTTTGATATTTATGTTAAATGATTGATATTTATGTTTAAACAACTACTGTATCAGTATTAACATCCCCATTATTGCAATACATAATGATAAGGCATGAAGCCATTATGCTCTGTGCGAAGCACAGGCTTTGTAATTCTCTTGTGAATGTTTTTTGTGAGTGCCTTTCTGATTGCGGCCACCTGTGGCGGAATAGTTAAGACCGATGAATGCTATCGATATTGGGGCTCGATTTCATAAAAATGGGCTTCAAGACTCCAATCCTCTTACGCAAATATCTTTCATATACTTCGCCATATTCAGATAACTTACCTAACCTTTTTATTAGCGAATTTCAGCTCTTCAGTTGCCAGATATCTTCGATGCGATAAATACTGTTTCATAATGTTCATAAGCAAACCTATTCACAACGCCCATAGGTACATAACAAGAGATCGGATTCCTTGGCAGGCAACTAGGTTGTTGCTGACAAACGTGCTTATACCATCATAGAAAAGATATCACTTATAAATTGCCTGACTCTTAGGGTATAATGGGTCCAATATTTCATTTAAATTTCATTGTATTTAAAATTAAGAGTATGTTTATACATTTCTAGAACGATTTCTGGCCCGTTTAATTAATGTTTAAAATGTAAAGAGTATTTGTTTAAATATTCGATCTGATAGTCTTTTTTTCTAGATTACATACAAGTCTGCAATCACGATTTTCATGATTGAAGAGCTTTTCGTTAAATTTCTAGGGGTATTGCCCTTGCAAGGATCCGTAAAGACTGGGGGTATAAAAAATATTTAAACAGACAAAATACATATAAAAAAATGATTGAAGGAAATAGCAATCAACTCCAAAATAAATTAGTAGAAAATAAGAATGAAAATAAAAATGTTACCAAATTGTTAATGTCTTGTAGCTCTGAAAATTATAATTATCTACTAATAATTAAAGTTAAAATTGGTTCGCAGACTTATGAAGCTCTTCTTGATACAGGTGCTAATTTATCTTTGGTTCAACCGGATGTAATTGAGGAAATTAAACAATTTTCTAAAGTCGAATTTGTTTCTCGTATGGTTAGAATAAAGACAATTGAAGACTCATCTATTCCTTACCTTTTAGAGTCCGTCAATCGTGGCGGGTTTGTGTTCATAAAGAGCTCTTTTCAAGGGACTAGAGACGCAACTGTCCACAGATCAGGGTATAGATTAGACACAGCTGTCCACAGATCAGACACACGTCAGGGGACTTCGCAGGAATACGAAGAAAAGGCGTATAGGTAATACAGTGGTGCCTCACATAAAGAACGCCTCGCACAGCGAACGCTGCACACAACGAACTTCATTTCATGATTCATACAATGAACTTCATTTCGCACAACGAAGTCGCCCGAGCTTCCACGACCGCTTTGCCCGAGCTTCCACGACTGCTTCGTCCGAGCTTCCATGACTGCTTCGTCCGAGCTCCCGCGACTGCTTTCGCCCGAGCTTTCCACGATCGCTGCCGATGTATTGCATCCTTCCGCGCGCAGGCACTGCAGGCAGTCGTTAGTCACTGCGCTTAACTTAAGTACGTATCGCGGCAATACCTCCTTTTAAGTTAAACTCAATATCGTCCTTTTAAGTTAAAATCAATATTTTTTTTTATATCATGGCTTCTAAAAAAAACAGGAAGGTGATTTCTGTTGAAATGGAACAGGAAATAATTAGAAGGAGTGAATGCGGGGTAAAACAGTGTGACCTCGTCAAAGAGTTTGGCCTCAGCAAGACCACCATTTTCACCATTTTGAGAAATAAGGATGCAATCAAATCAGCCAAAGTAGCCAAAGGAGTATCAAAACTATTTCATGAAAAACATAGGTCTTCAATCCACAAGGAAATGGAGAGGCTATTAGCGATTTGGATTAAGGACAGGCAGGTGAAAGGTAACGTAACAACCCAAGATATTATCTGTCACAAAGCCAAGAGAATTTATGACGATCTAAAGAAAAACGTCCCTGGAAGTAGCAGCAATCAAGATAATGAAGAAGAATTCAAAGCCAGCAGGGGGGGGTTTAGATTTAGGAAAAGGTGTGGAATCCACAGCGTTACTATGCATGGTGAGGTTGGCAGTGCTGACAAGAAAGAAGCAGGAAAGTTCTCTATTAACTTTCAAAAAATGTATTAAGGATGAAGGATACTGCCCACAACAAGTGTTCAATGCCGATGAAACGGGTTTTCTGGAAAAGAATGCCGAGCAGAATCTTCATTACAAAAGAGGAGAAGAAATTGCCAGGAAACAAAGCCATGAAGGACAGACTTACCCTTATGTTTTCGTCTAATGCCAGCGGAGACCTCAAGATCAAACCTCTATTGGTTTATCACTCTGAAAATCCAAGAATTTTCAAGAAAAATAACGTTATTAAGTCCAAACTGCCCGTCCATTGGAAGTCCAATCCAAAAAGCCTGGGTGACCCAAGTTATCTTCAACGAATGGATTCTGGAAACCTTTGCTCCTGCCGTGAAGAAATTCTTGCTGGAAAAAAAAACTGCCGCTCAAAGCCCTTCTGATACTTGACAATGCCTCTTCTCACTCAAAAGACTTAGAGGAAATATTGCAGGAAAATTATCTTTATCAAGGTGCTGTTTGCCCCCAAACACCAATCCATTCTCCAGCCAGCCAATGGATCAGCAAGTTATTGCGAACTTTAAAAAAAACTTACACTAGAGCCCTCTTTAATAAGATGTTTGAAGAATGCGAGTTTGGTGGAGGACAATAGATGCCCGAAAGTTTGGAAGGAGAAATTTGATGTCCTTATGGCAATACGACTTATACAGAAGGCCTGGGAAGAAGTGTCACAAAGGACCCTCATTTCTGCTTGGAAGATGCTTGTGCTTCGTGGACCCCAGGAAGAAGCAGTAGTTGATGACGCAGAAGTAGTGAAGGACATCATCAGAGTGGCCCAAAGGTTGGAATTAGAGGTAGAGGAAGAGGAGGAGTAGAGGAGCTTATTGAGGAACACGAAGAAGAGCTGACAAGTGACGAGCTCCAAGCACTTCTGGTCCAGCAACAGGACAATGCTCAAAGGGAAGCGTCATCTGATAGCGAGGAGCAACAATCAAACAATCAACCAATCCCAACTGCTGACATCAAGAACATCCTGGTCAAATGGAAAGCAGTTCAGGAGTTTACCAATGCCCACTATCCGGATTCAGCTGAAGCAAACAGGATCAACGATCTTTACTTCGTTTCTTTTGTCCGTTATTTCCGGCAGATGTTGGAGGAGAAAAAGAGAAAAACAAACGACTTTGGAAGTTTTTTTCATGAAACCATCGGCCAAAAAGCAGAAAATGGATGAAGATGTGCAAGATTCGGTAGACTCTACTTAGTCTGTCTTAAAATTAAAAAAAATGTGCGTTTTTTTTTAAATTATGTTTTTTAGATGTATCTAAATAAAAATAATAACAAAAAATTTATCTTTTTTTATGTCATTTAGCATATTTTATGCTAGAATGAATTATTTTTTAACATGTATTGTTATGGGAAAACGCGTTTCACATAACGAACTTTTCGCATAACAAACTTGCTCCTGGAACGAATTAAGTTTGTTGTGTGAGGCACCACTGTACCTATATCATTCTTCATCTTTTCAAGAAATGCAGTGGTACTTTTCCAGATGCGACTTGAAACTTTGTCCTGATGATGTTTCACTCTTTGAAAGACATTGGGATAAAAAAAATGTAATTTTCTTTGTAAATAAATCCTCTGTCAATACTTGCTATAATATGTTGAGTTGATTTTTACTTTTTTTAGCTCTTTGTATTTTTAATTTCCCACTGAAAGAGAATCCAGCCACCATAGTTAACCCCTTACTGTAACATTCTTCGCATTGACGGAAATAGTTATGAACACTTTTTCTCTTCGTTTTCATAATCAATAGAGTATTTTTTTTACTGCAGTCATTTAGGAAACCCATGCTTCATCAAGGGTCATAGTGTATTTCCATTTATCTCTTGCTAAATAGTTTTCACACACGGCTCTATTAACTGCTCTGCGTTGAGCCACATGCCTCGGCAAAAGCTGGTGAACATTATGATTTTAATCGTTTTAAAGCTGTAAATCTTGGTTAATTATTTTTGTGTTGCTGCAACAGATGTATTTTAAGACTTTTCAATTGATTTCTACGTCGGCAGATTTTTCTTTTGCTACCAACAATTTAACTTCAGAAACATTTGAAACAGTACGCATCATTTTTGGGTATTCGTTTGGAGTCTTCTTTCCAAGTGGAAGTTTTTTTTTATTTCTAATGGCAAGACAAATTACAAGAAGAATTTCAAAGACAGAACATAACACAAGTGACAGAAATTCTTCGCCTAAGACAGTCTCTGGCACGCCAATAATGGGGTCTCAATAATTAGTCCAGAAAGGGTGTCCAGTTCGAAGCAATTTGCTTAGTCAAGGTGATCCATACACTTGCTCAGTCATAACCAAGAAGTGCCCCACAGCGACGAAGGTAGGCTCTGTTCATGGGTTCAATAAGATCACAGAGTGAAAAAAATGGTTTAACAAATATGGCAGTTCGGTAAAGATGTTCGCCCAGGCAATATGGCCTGCAAGTAGTCGAAAAACATCACAACATTACGTGGATATTCTGGCGGGCAAGTGAGATCTTTACCCTTCCATTGTTTCGTCTAAATGCTATTCAACAATTTCGGTTGATGTCTTTGATTCATAAACTGTTTTATGTTTGTGTTATTATTTAGTGGTATGACATAACTAACTGAGTTTGTTGAGCACTCTTTCGTGCAAGCAAATCTGCTTGTTCATTTCCATAGATAACGCTGTGTTCAGGGATCCACTATATTCTAATTTTCTTTTTTTTCTGCAAAAGGTTTCGGATTAATTCTTGACACTGAAGAACTTCTGTTGATATAGGGGTTTCTAATAATCCAATGGCTTGAATCTTATAACAGAACTCTTGTTGCTCTTGATAAGTGATTCTACAGTGTATCTAGTGTCCAATGCAACTTGTTATCAAAGATAAGTATTTAAATTTAGCAGTATTAACAATTCAAACATCTTCAAACTTCCCATGTAGAAGTAATGATTAGAGCTTTCCCGCTCCCCTATTAATAATATTTCTGCTTATTTTGTATTTAAAAATTTTAATACCATGTATTTCACAAAGCTTTTGAAATATGGAATAGGAGTATTTCTTTTCGGAAAGCGCAAAAACACATCCTTCATTCCACAGCTTGATTACATGCGACATTTTGAGAAAAGAATAAACTTAAAAAGCAGACGATATTTTTCATTTCAAATAATAAGCTGTTTCCAGGACTTTTTTTTTCAAAACATTTTCTTTTTTAATTCTTTAGCGAAATCTTTCAAAAAATGCGTGAGTACCTCCAAACAAGAAACAAACATCTGTGCAGAGAATAGAGAAATAGCAAGGTTTCTCGCATATTCTATACACCTATGTCTAGACATTCGTGTAATTATGCATATCCTTCTATTATTTAATTACCATGCATCTATCCATACACTTGCTCAGTCAGGGTGATTGTTAATTCATCAAGATTTCAGCTTAAATTTCTACTATTTTCCAGATTCAGAATTCAGACTATTTAATTATTCTTTTGTAAGTAATTGCATATATACTTACCGTATACTTATATATAGGATATTACTACTATAAGACGGAATTCAACTGAAGACTTGCTTTTGATGTCACTTATTTACAAACAATATTATGCAAATTTATGTTTAATGTAAGTGTAAATACTGAAAAGCACTGGTTTCGAAAGCGTGCCTAGCTTAGTATACGTGAGACAATTTTTGGTAGATCGCGAAAGGTTTTGAAGTTTCTGTTTTGCTATATTACTAGCCCAAAATGACCAACAGTCTCGAAACACGATTTTGTGTTGTGTCACTTTAATGTGTTGTGCCAGTTTAATGTGTAATGCCACATTAAAGCGTTGCTTCCCTTTCATTCGATTCGCTTCATATTTTAATTTTGCCTATCGGAAAAACGTAAGATATTTTTCTTTCATATTTAATCTGTTTGTTTCTAATTAAGAAACTAAACTATTTAGAACAATTGATGAACATCTTAAAAATACTATTTTTTAATTTTTAATCGGATTGAGTTAAAAATACATTTAATTCATAATATATCTAATTAAAAATATTCAATACTTTTATAGAATTATATCGCATACTTTTTCACTTTTTAAATATACAGAAGATATATCAAGTTTCCATATTAATCTAAACGCATATTCGTTTAATATCCTATAAAATGTTTCGCTAATCCACCTGAGTCATCTGTATCGAGAATAATTCTAATAAACCATATTAAACTTTAAAACAGCCCTTTTGTTCGATTGTTAAAACCTGAACCCTTTCATATTTTTTCCTGTTACGTTTCTTTCTTCTCATACTTTCTTTCTCTTCTACATTTTTTACTTCTTTATACGAAGTAAAGGAAGCATTGTAATTTCTAAAAATTTCGGGCATTACATTTCAAAGAAAATATCCATTTTGACCGCTCTCGAATCCATTTGAACGATGTGTTTGCTATATATATATATATATATATATACTATACTATACTATACTGATGCTCTGTTACCCGCCTCGGTCAGCTCAGGTTTTTCTTATATGTTGGTAAATTGCGCAGTTTTTACTTTAAATGTGATTGGATTATGTTGTTCAAATGTTCCGGTTAAGGTTTTTATGCCTTTAGTTAATCTGCATGTAATAGTTGCAGTTAAAAAGTTCAAATGTTGCTAACCTTAACGAGGCCGCCATTTATTTACATTTGGAACTCGTAGTAAATTTTTCGATTAAATAACTTAATGCACCAACCAGTGTCTTTTTGCAAAATGGAAACAAAAGCAAATTTTCAATTTTGTGCACCTGAAAATAAATCAGTCTTCTGCTGCCTGAGGGCCGAATTGTTTGTTTTTTGCGTACAAACTCTAATTGAAAAAATTGTTTTCTTAACTGCTTTTGGTGTATTATTATTATTATAAATGTTATTATTATTGCATTTTACAATTTTTAATGAAGATGATTTGAGTTTTTAGGCATTTTTGCGTAACTGAATGGATTGAAAGAGAGATATATCTCTAATGAAGTTCAAAGAAATAAGTTTAAATGAAGTGCTACAAAAATGTTTATGG